GCAGCCGCAGTGCCGAGCTCTGCGCTCGCATCTCTGGAGAAAAGAGGGGAGACGGGGGCAGACTTTCACATCCTCAGACCGCAGGGAAACATCTGCCGCCGCGGAAGCGCCATCCTTAATCGTCCGGCCGCCGGCCCTCTCCAGGGGCAGCTCCTTTGAAACAGCCGGGCTGCACCTGGGCGTGGCCTAAGGTACGGTGAGCTGCCTTCGTGCTCAGTGCAGTTGGTAAAAAAAAAAGAAATTACTGCTGCAAAACCAAATAAAACCAAATAATCGTAATTATCAAGTCACTGGCGTAAGCACTGACCGCTGCACTGCTCAGACTTTGCTGGGCTGCTACAGAAAGGCAGTTAACAAAGTGTCCCAGGACAGTTGCATTTTCCTTTGGCATGAGAGTTTTTCATTTGCTGCAAGGTACAGGAAGGATTTTTTGTTTTGAAAGAATGGAGGTAGTGGGGACGTTGAGTTATCTGGGAAGCAAATGAAGTCCGGCGTGAAGGTTTGAGGTGTTGTTACAGTGTCAGAGTAGAAGAAGAGCTGTTTATGTCTGAGAACCAAAAAGGCTGCTCCATGGGAATCCTGAAGCAGAGTAAAAGATATCTAGTAAGGAGGGTTAGCTTAGACATATGACCAGCTCATCCGTGTGCTACTTTAAAGCGTGGACCACTTGTGAAAATTGTCAGTAGAAATAATTCAGCCTTACCTGGCAGATTTACTTCCCAGGATGATCTGGGCAGAATCCTTGCCAACAAAATCCGAGATAAATCTCTGATTGGATTTCATTCTGCAAAATGAATGCAAAAAAACATGAGTCAACCTCACAATATTTTCTCTTCTGTGCCTTATCTGTGTCCTGTGTATTCACTTCGCCTGTCATCTCTTTCCAAAGCTTTCCAGGAGGAGGTAAGCAGTGGGGGCAAAGGTCAGCCTACCATACTAGATGTTATCTCTAGTGTAAAACTGATTATGTTTGGTATGATGATTATTGAGTGTCAGTAAGTTTAGACCTCAGTGTGGCATTTGAAGGCTTGTTACTGGCAAGGTAAAATTCTGGAAGTAACTTTTCTTCCAAAGTAACTTTGGAACTAACTTTCTTTGAAAGTAACAGTGTTCTCAGCTGTCACTTTTTACCCATTTTCATTCCTGTGGTCTGTATATGAAAGCTGTCTTAATAAAAAAAAGAAGCCTTATTTATTTATTTATTTTCTGTTCCATCAGCAAACTACTGGAAAAAAACCCAAACAAACACCATGATTCTGCACTATGGAACACAACTTTTTATTACTGTAAACCTGTACTATAATAAATGTTAGGCGCATTTCTGTTTTCATGTTAATCAAGAGCAAGTTAGGAATTCAGGGCAGTCACATCCATGTGGGACTAACATAAATGGGATAATGATCAGACTCTGTGCCTTAGTTTTCCTGACAAGGCCAAAAAGTAAAACCCCCCCCATAGTGTGAACTGAGCTGCCTAAATAAATGTAGTTTGATGTTTCTGATGTGCCAGAACTTTGCAGATGGCACTGAATTCATGGAGAGAACCTCTATAAATCAAGCTGCTTTGTTTAGATTGCTAAGAATGCCATCAAGTTCGGGATTAGGAAATGAGTGCTGCATATTCTGAGCTGAGACATTAATGGGTTTGCCAACCTGATAGGACAAATGGCAAAAGCCTGGAGGTAATTAAGCTGCATGGAAAACTCCAGTGTCAATGTGATTTGCTTTTTCCAAATAATAATTATAAGTTTTCTGGATTTGCATTTATCTGTGGTTGTGTTTGGTGAACTTTGTGTTAAGTCTGTATTTCAATTCTTATTTGTGACCTAGATATCAACAGAATAGCTTATTTTAAAATACTTCAGTGAAAACACCATATAATTCTTAGCAAGACTAAAAGCTTCTTAATTTTGTCTCTACTAAATGAATAAATAATTTATATGCCATTCCAAGTTGCTACGTGTATCCCCTTGAAGGACTAGATTACTGTGGTATGGATGAGCGTTGTTTCACACCAGGAGACATTTCATTGTAAGATGGTCTTGAGCAAGCAACAAAAAATATCTCTGCTCATTCAATGGCTCTGTTCTTTTTTTACCATACTTGATAAATCTCTTTTCAGGAAAAAATTCATTGCATAAACCATTGCCTTGCTCTTCATGGTTTCTATGCACTGATCTTCTGGAGGATGACCTCTAGTTTTACTGTGTTTTGTTGGCTGGGATTTCAGGAGAAAACAGGAGCAGGTGGAATATTTTAAGTTTACTGCCACATAAGGATGATAGAAGAGAATGACTGTGGCTTCCTATGGAGCTGGAAGGCAGGCAAATGCCTTTAGAAAACCCACCTTGTCAGCTGAACCAGTTCACAAGATGGATCGCCCACTGTATCGAAGTCTGTTAAAGATGTGCATGCCTGTTCTGAGAGGTCCTGAGAACAGATACAGCTTTGCCAGCTTTGAGGAGAAAAATAGTAATTCTTTCCTTGAATTCAATCCATTCACCTATCCAGTAGGGCCTAATTACCCTTTATTCCCACATCAGGATAATGTGCTGTCCTAGATTAAGAACTCCGGGATAAAAGTTCTCTGGGGCTCCTGGCATGGGGGCAAGCACACTATGCCTGTGGGGAAGAGAGGATGGGTCTGGTGACCCAAATAGACCAGTCATGGTGTTCCTTCCCATGGTGCTCAGTATGTAAGGGCCTTTAAGAAAACCTGGGGGGGTTTTAGTGCCTTCTGTGTTGTGAGGATTCCTGTTGGCTGTTTCTCTTATCTCCTGGTGCTGCTGGTGTTCCAGAGCACCATTTGTTGGGGCATGCTGTTTTTTCCTGCCTTGCTGGGTGAGAGAGGCACAGCTTCTTTTCTGGTTTTGAGGGTTTTGTTTTGTTTTCTGTGCTATCATCAGGACTCGGGACTCGGGTGCTCCCATCTGCTGCTGAGTCTAGTCTGGGACTTTCTCCTCAGGACCTAATGATCATCTGGAAGGTGTAAGTTCCATATTAACATATTCTTTTGTATCTTTGACTATATATGCATGAATGTGTAGTATCTGTATACAGTTCAATATCTTTATTGTTACTCCAAGTGTTATTTTCTTTTTCAGTATACTCGTTCAAGTTTCTTTCAACCTCAAAGTGTCTCTCCACAGTTCCCCTGTTATCTTCCCCTGGGAGGGTGGTGGAGGGATCACAGGGAGTGTCTATCACAGTTTAGTGGCCAGCTCAGCCCTAAACTTTTTGCTCAGGTTTTGTGAGTCCAGGAGAAGATGCTGACCTGCAGCCCAATGTTGGAAGAGCTATTGAATCTCTGGTAGAAAACAGTGAGATGAAACCTCACTAGCATGTCACCATCCCAGGAAGGAAAGTCCAGCCTGCCTGCAGGAGGTAGATGATCCTCCTGGAGGAAACCTAACAGGACAGAAGGTGGAGCTGCCAGGGCTGTGTCAGCTGCTTCTGTCAGGGCACAACTCAGTGGCAAAGCAAACTATGATTTTTATTTCTTAATCTCCAAAGATATTGGTGATGCTTACCAAATAAATTTCTGAACTCCATCCCCCAAGGTCCTGAAAGAGCAACCTTATAAAATGAATTGCACTGAATATTTGAACTGAATATAACAACTTCAGTAGAGGTTTTGTATCATTCATTGTCCATGCTAAAGCAAAAAGGTACCGGTCATCAAAGTCTAATGAGCTAATGCTAAAAAAAAACCCATAAAAATCTTTGAAGGTAAATAATGTTTTAAAAATCTATTTATGTAAGTTGTGAAGCTTTATGTAAATTGTGAGCACATGTTTCAATGGAAAGCAAAATAACAAGTCACTCTAGACTTAGAAAATCCCCTAGATATTTGTGTGTCTTTTCCTTGTCATTTCCTGACAAGTTGCAGTGCAGTGCATTTAAAGACCTACTCCAGTGTCTAGTTAATTGGAGAACACAAATTCTTTAGGACTGCCATCACATATTGGTCAACGTACCTATTACCCTTTGTTTTTATATCAGTGTGAAAACCAAGAAGTAGAAGTTGATCATTTTGTGTTGATTACAGCATCAAAATGGAAATTCACTCTTTTTAAAGTGAAGGAAAATTGGTTGCTGATTACAATTCAGAATTGTCCGATGGAAATTCTGGAAAGCAGAACTATCTACCCAGGGCTTCAAAAAGTGTGTATAGTTAGCAGTAAGCAATGGGGGTTTTTTCTGTTTGATTTTTTTTTCAAATATAAATATTGAGCCAATTCCACTATTTTCATAGAGCTAGAACAAAATTTTACTGGAACTTGAGCAATATGCTTGTAGATGAGGGCAGGCATTTCTTAGAACATTGCTTTAGTAAGACCTCAGAATTTGACTGTGCGGGTATATTTGTATCTGGAAGCCTGGTGACAAAGCCCTTGTATCCAGTTTGTAATTATTATTCTATTTTGTATGGCTTAACACGGAGATGGGTACAGTGATTGCAAAGGAACCAGGATATTTGATAAGTCTGATAAGGACCAGACACGAATTCTTGCCCCGGTTGGAAACTGGCACATCTGTAGACACGGGGTTTTATTCCAAAACCAGGAAATGAGAGACAGTGTAGAGTTTACCTATAGACTTCATAGTAACTCTTTTCTGTAAGAAATAAGCAATTACGCCACTACTAGTGTGGCTGTATTTGGATTTGTCCAAAAGCTCCACTAGTCCAATATTACACTGAAGACTGTAGATACTTAACAAATAATGTCAGCATACTTCCTCCACATATTTTCCTGTCAGGTAATGGTTTGTTGACACGGGGATTTGTGACCAGGAGATATGTTTATAGGTAGTAGGCATGGATCCATAGATTGGCCTTCAAGAATAGAGCCATTTGCTTTTTCAAAGCATCACTTAACTTCCAACCTTCTATTTCCAGGTTATTTCTTAAGATGTTAAGAAACAAAGTCCTAAACCCAGATAGGTTTCTTCAGGTCTCTACCAGTGATGTCCACCTACCTGGAAAATTGATCATTTAACCCTTTCTTCTTTCTCTGATCTTCTAATCAATTATTTATCTGTGTGATGAAATTAATTCTGTTGTTACTTTAAGAAGCTCTGTTGAAGAATTTTGTGCAGAACTTGCTGAAACAGTTGTGGTTGCATTATACTAATTTCCCAATGGGTTTTGTATAGGAGAAGTTCCTTTCCCAGTACTTCCTCTCCTGAAGCAAGAAGCATTTTCTCCAGACTAATCATTACACTGGAGAAGTAATTATTAAGGAGTAATCCAGAATTAAGTAGCACATTGACTGTGAGGCATATCAAAGTAGGATTCCAGCCTTTTCTATCTTTCAGATAATAATACAAAATGACAGTAGGCAATGCTGGTGCAGCCTCAGTTTGTAACATAGGTACTTAGTGAGAAAAAACCCTTTACCTGCCTGCAGAAAAAGAAAGAAGACAGATTAGAGGCAGCAGCATGCGAAGCAAAGAGCAAAAAAATGTGCAACTTGAAAACCATCAAATTAAAGACACTCATAAGTAACATGCATAGCTCATAACTATTGTAGGACATAAACAGTGTCAACTAAGAATGAAAAATGGCCTAGAGTAGGCTCAAGAATATTTGTGCTGTTAAATAATTACCTGTAATATAATTAATTGTGTAATAGCATACTGCCTAGTAAGCTGGTATGTCATCTAGACATAATGCCTAAAACCCACATAATTTCTTTGAGGGCTGAGTGCTGTTGAATGAGTCAATTGTGGTTTCACTAAGGATTCAATTATTTATCATTCCTAAAGTTATGTATTTCCACATGCATTTGTTTTTCACTTGCCTGATAAGAGAGCAGTGCTTTCTTTATTCATTAACATTGCTGTTTCTCCATTGCTTCTTTTGTTGTGCATGTCTTTCCAATATAAATTTATTTACCATCTTAACCTGTTACCTGCATGTTACCTGCTTAAGAGACGCATTCCAAAATATTTTTTTTAATTGGAGAGTGATTTAATTTGAAAATCCTTCAAAGTGCAAATATCTACACATTCTGTGAAGCTTTTCAAAAGTAGTAACTTAAAGTTGTATCACACTGTACAAAAAAGCTCTTTTTAAAAAATAGTTCATGTTATTTCATCATCTACATATAGTGTTAGGGTAGTAAACCTAGTCTCCTACTGAAAGCTGTGGTTTTTTTATTATTTTTTTTAGACTTTGAGGGAGTGATTAGTTCTGCAAGTACTAATTTTATATTAGAGATTTGTAGTGCACTGGGAGTAAAAACCGAGTTGAAAACTAAGATACTACATTCTTGATACTAAATAATAGTTTCCAGTGTTCATAGAGGGAGTGGTGTGATGGTTGTGTGGCTGCTTACCCCTTTTACTACAGTATAACAAAGTGTATTTAGAAATAAACCTTTTTTGAAAGTCACCAAAATCATTACGCTAATTAATTGCACAGAAGTTTAGATGATACTCTCGTACATTTCTTAAGGTATTTTGTAGGGTTTATCCTGATTCCTTAAGGAGACAAGTTTGCATTCATCCTGTTTATTCATTTATTCATTCTTCCCTAGTAACTTTTAATTACATTGACCAATTTCTGCCAAAGTTGACAGAGAAATAAACATCTTGAGGATAACCCCTAAAAGGTTTTTGAAGTCTGAGGAGAGGAAAGACATAAATCAGTGTTCCTCTTGAGGGAACTGGAATTTGGACATTATAACATCTTTCTGTCTGGCAGCAGCTCAGTTTATCAGAATCTTTGTACTGGGTTGCAAACCAGCACATACACAACTCTACAGTAACTGTAAAATATGGCATCTTGGTGGGTAAGTCTGACTCATGGAAGCCGGTTGTGGAGAGCTCCAATTGTTGGAATATGATGTTGGGAGGATGAGAGAAACATATTTAGAGAATCAGTCACCTACTGCTCATGAAACAGATGGTTTATTGCTTTTAAGGTTGGCAAAAATTATCTAACTGTAGAAATGCAATATATAATTACTACCTTGGGTTGAATTAGCATATTTTTTATTATTGTGTTTGATGATTTGGATACTTTTCTTTATATAGTTAGTACTGTACATGACTATGTGATGTAGGCCAAGCCATAGCAATATATATTGTGATATCATTTATCACTTCCATCTTTCACGTAATTTGATCTTATTTTTTTTTCTGGAATTCTGTAGTTTAGAGTGGTAACAGGTAACTGAGTAGTGTTGCATTGATTTTTATGGGAAACCACGAATTGACTTCATCCAGTTTAAAACAGTAAGGATGGCTGCAAATTAACACAGTAGAAAGCCTTTTCTTGCAGGCTGGAGAACTTCAGTGAAAGTTGCTCCTGCTCTACCTGACCAAAACCGTATTTTTGTTTTGTATGGATCCCGATCTCAAGGCAAGTGTCTGGTGCTCTTCTGGTAGTGACAGAAAGGAAATCATTTTGTTTCTAGTCTACTTTCCATTCAATATACTTTCTCAGTGATTACAGTAGTGAGTGACTTTTTCATTTCTTCATCTAATTATGTTGAAATAAGTGCTATATTTCAGGTAGCTGTATGTTAGCATGACCAAATTTTAATAGTGGCTATTGTTCCAATAACTCTTTTTTGTACTGTTACTCTGCTTAAGGAATTTAGGCTGTAGTGTAAGACTGGCACTGCTAAAGTCTGTTGTGTGTAACTAGAGACAGAGCAAAAATACCAGAATGTACAGAAGATACCAAACTCTCGTACTTAGTATAAATACTCATATGTTTAATACTTAGCCACTTCCTTATTTGGTGCAAGTCACAAAGAAATAAATTTTTAAAAAATCAATGGTTCCAGAGCCTGAGTCTAATTAAGTATTTCCCACACTGAAAATGTAAATGGCATTCTTCATCCTTCTACGCTGATGAGACCATTCATAGTCATTAAACTGTTGCACATGCTTAAATAATTCTTTAAGCTGGACTTATTCCGTAGCAATGAACATCATACAGACACATCAGGCATACATGACAGACTTGCAGAATGCATTTGCTGTGCTATTTTATAAATAATATAGCAAAAGGAAAGCTACATTTTGAGGTGTAGAGAGGCAAGGACATTCTACTAGTTGTATTCACTATATTGCCCTTTCCTTCCTGAGTAAAAGTCTTCAAAAATAGAACTGTTCTGGGTCTCCAGTGCTGGCTAGAGCAGTATGTAAAATCGCATGTTTCACATTTTGATGTAAAAGAAGATAGTAAACTAGGAAAATGTGGATATGTACAGTTCACTCTTTATACAAGCAACCATACTATCATATATGATAACATTACTTTCAGCCGTGTGTTTGATTTCTCTTAGGAATTAAATGATCCTTCTGCAAGGTGGAGAGAAGAAAAAGCAAGGGACTATTTCTACAAGTTAAATACTGAAAGTGAGACACCATTTCTTTTTAAAAGTTTTTTTCTTGTGCTTTGTTGCATTTTTTCATCTTATTTTTGCTATTCTGCACCTTTAGGTAGCTGAACATATAAGACTACAATTTTTCTCTCACTCAGAACTTCTGGCTTTTAACAGCATTTAGCACAGGATCTGTCTCATAAGCTTTAGTTATCTGAAAGCTTGCATCCAATCTGTGCCTTCATCTATACTTCCTCTACAGGCAGTGAAGAGAAACTGGAGTTTCCGAAAGGGCATTCTATACATTTGTCTTCAATGCCTGTCACAGGCATGATATGACTGGTGTCTAATCTCTGTTTATGTCTTGTCTTAACTGATTATTCAGACTCGGACAAAATAAATCCCATCATCACTGTAAGCTGATTGGAAGATAAACTACCTCTTTAATGAGACAGTTTTAAAGATAATCTTGTGAAATTGTACCATAACTACTTGTTCCCCAACAAACAATATACAATTCTAGGCTTTTTGCTTGCCTTTAAACTGGAAATATACACCCTTATTTTCTTCATCCTTCTTTGTCACGTAATTCCTTATTATCTAGCTACCAGTGCCATCACCAAGTCAATGAACAATTTCTTGCCAACTAGATTTAGGTTTTCCTAGTGAAATGTAGCCTAAATTTAGTGTAGCTCATACACATAAACCCACAGCAATGTTTTTTGTATAAGAACAGTCCTAAGTGAGCATTTTAAATCATGAACACACTCCAGTAATAGCCTCAAATGATTTTGTGGGGGTTTTTTTAACATCCCTTTGGTACAGTACCAAAAGAGAGAACACGGATATTGTCGAAAAATTGGTCCATAGGAGTGATGCTGTACCATAACACATCCTCTATTAAGCTAGTTTACTTGTGTTTATTAGCTGTAATAATTATTTTTTACTGAACTAAAATTCAGTCCTGCAATTGATTGCTACATGAAAATCTGTTAAGCCAAATTAATTAGGTCATATTGCCTCATAAGAAGCATCTAGTTATAGTTGTAGGTTGTTGGAAGCTTCTAAGACAGATTTCAGACAAAATATTTTACCTTTTCACAGAGACCTGTTCATTTGTAAGTTTAATTTCTCTGATCCTTTGAATACTCCCTTTAAGAAGTCTATGTAGAGTTAATTATTTCAGAAGATCAAATTCAGCAGCGTTCTCTAACTAGAGAAGTTAAAATATTTATATGAAAAGTATACTCTTAACATGCTTCACCTGTGAGAGAGCTAAATATAAAAAGCAGAACAAGAAGTCTGTAATGTGAATGATTGTCATGATTTCATACATCTGATATTTTCATTAAGATATGACTTTTATGAAAAAGGTCATTAGGGTTATCATGGTAATAATATACATGTACAGACTCAAGGTTTTATCTGCTCTTCAGAGAATCCAAAACAATCACCTGTGCATCAGTGCCTTTTCTTCGTTCTTTGTTCTGCTCCCATTCCTATTCCATCTCAGAGTGAAACATTTTAGATGAGCCCAGTAAAGGGTGACAAGAGATTCAGAAGGCCTCAAATAAGAGCCAAGTAGAGATGAGGAAGGAAAGGTTGGTCAAAGCAACACAGGAAAACTAGAACTTTCCAAGCCATGAGCCAGCAGGTTTGCTTGAGCGAAGCTGGTGAACAGTTGTGCTACTGGGCACAGCTGGGCATACAACGGAAGAGACAGATACCTCTACAGAGTAGGAGAAAGAAAATGCTACCATTATGGTTTATTGAATGTTGCTCTTTCAAAGGAATATAAATGTGGACAGTGAGGGCAGCTTGCAGGGACAGACCAAGAGAGAAATTCAGACCTGATGCTAAATTGTCCCATTTTTCTCAAGAATGGAATGAGAGAAGCATAGCAATAGAGAAGCAGTCCATTTTTAAAGAAAACTTGCTTATACCATCTGTGGAAGTTGACTGAAGTCCCTGTATCTGAGCATGAAGATCAAAAGACAAAATTCTGTCTGCTGAACTGGGCCACTTAGCATATATGCCAACCTAATCATTTACCATGGTCTTTGTACCAAATTCAAATGAGCATTGAATCATTCCAAGAGCAAAACTTTGACTTGTCACCACCTCTCTTTTGGGACTTCATAAATATTCTACTAGAACACTTTGTCTGGTGGAAAAAAAAAAAAAAAAAGATTGATCTGTTTTGTCTTTAACAGGGTAAGCCAAAGCTCTCAAACCTGTCATATGCTTTTGTATATGTAAGTATAATGTCCCTGCATTGCTTCTACTTTCTACATTTTTGATTAAGCCCAAGCAATACATATCTCATTTTCTGAAGCAAGAGTTGTAGATGGACTATGTTATCTAATCTGAAGGTGTTTTTTGATGCTAAGGGAGAGTGTGTGTGCTGAGTCTCTTCTGCTTGTGGGTGACTCCAGCCTTTTACCTGCAAACTAGAAATCAGGATCTGTTATTATCCTCTTTGGAAGAGTATCCCAGTATGATCATGGGTGCAGCCAAAAGGACAAGAGGTGACACTTCTATCTTATTTCTATTATTCCCAAGCCTTCTCTCTGCATATATGTACAAGAGATGTCATTTGTTACATGCTGCAAGTTCAACAGATTATTGTTTTCATCTTGGGACATGCCAAGTACACAGGGCAGTTCACCTCCGTGGTTTTTCTTGTGGACCATTTTAATAAATAACTAGAATTTGGGAGCATGCAGTATATAGTTCAGCTGCGTCCACCAGCTGTCTTATGAATAATGTACATATCTTTGATTTCCTTTCTATTTGAACAGTGTCTGTGTTGGTGTGGTAAATTTTGAAGCAATTGACAATGGCTGTGTAGACTTTATCTCGCTTAACCATGTATGAACTTCAAAGCCTTGCTACACAAGCATTGCACAGTATGTTTGTTAATAGCATGATTTGGGCACTACCTCTTGAGTTCTTGTTACTTGGGAAGGGGGAAGAACACTTAAAGATCTGGTCTTGAGCCAAATGAATGAAAAAAATGTGGACACCACTCCTTACTATTTGTACTAACTTGAATAAAGTCTGTTTAACACAGGAAGCATAGTTGACTTCCAGATTTGAGGTTGAATTTAAGGAGTCTTTTTTAATAACTGAGTCAGTAATAAATGGTCTATAGTCATAAATGCCTACAGTAGTCACTGTAGGTCTGTATAATCTAATGGACCATTCAGCTTAGATATATAAAAGTCAAGGAAGCTGATACAAAATCACAGAGCAGAAATGAGCAGATTGACGTCTGCTAAGATGATGGTATAACAGGTTTTATCCATCTATTTGTGCTGTGATAAGCCTAAAAGCATCCTGTTTTGACTAGGTGTGAATTTGTCATAGAGTATTAAGGCCTCATTCTTTATTGTATTGTATTAGTGTTACAGTTTCAGGGAAATTAGGCTCCTAACACCATGCATCAAGCTTTTCAATCAGAAATGTTGATTAGGAGTTTTTTCCATCCAGGATTTGCTCTGTGGCCCAGGTGACCCTGCCATCCATCTAGCACAGAATGGGCATAAAGGACTGACAATAATTGACTTTTGGACCCAAAGTTACCCTTAGTGTGTCCATTCTGGGAAGTAAAAGCTGCCTGTGGTAGCACCAGTGCAATACACTGCCTTGGTATAATGAATTCTTCACAATCAGCAGGCTCTGATGTAGACTGGGATGGAAATCAGAGTATACTCTCCCTCCTGCTGTTAATCTTGCTAGACTAAGTGCGCAACCAACTTTTAAGAATTCAGAGGTGCTTTTACTTTTTTCTCAATTGAGAAAGGTCGTGTAAGAAGGTAGTCTGAGCCCATCTGCTAGATCATACCCCAAAACACCTGACTCATGGGTCCTAATGATGCTGAGACTACTTCACGCAGGCAGTCCTGTAAATGCCCAGCAGCAGGACACAGATTTGTGTCGTATTTAAGGGTCAAATGGGGAGGACATGAAAGAGAAGGTTCTGAGCTTGACATGTACCAGGAATTTCTGCTGATAACATTCTGAATAGAGTCCTTGCTTCCAGATGAACTATATTTTGAAATTATGCCATACTTTCCTACTTCAAATGCTTCCTGTTCTCTAGTATTAATGAAAAGATCTGTTGGGTAGAAGTGCGTGTGCCACTGATGGGTAATATGAGTTGAATATCGTCATGTTCAGAACGTGTGATTTTTAACTTTAGTCGCTAGATGGCCTTTGAGTTTGCAAAAGCTCCGTGAATGCCGTTAAAAATGTGTTGATTCTAGCTAGATCAGAGACTTGGAAATGCAAAGGTTTTCACTTTAAGCCTTTTCTAAAGTCTTCTCTAGTAGCTTGAGCTGATATTAAGCACTTACTTGCAAACTTTTGAGATAGTAAGGCAGTAGAAGAACTAAAAGGGATAAAAGATAAAACTGTTCTGTTTACTTAATCAGATATTTTTCTTTGCATAGGCCTTTACTTTCAGGCCTTCCAGTGGTCTTACACAGTCCACATTAAGGGTTACTTCATACTGGAGAAAGCAGAGGGAGAGATGCTATAAAAATATTGCGCTCCCTGTTGTGAAGAAAAGGCATAATTCTGGGCCTTGCTCATGTATGGCAGAGTGTGTGCTAAACATTCCTTGTTGCTGAGAGCTGCCTTGAAAGTAGCTGGAATTTTTGAGCTCCACGTTAGATCTGTTCATTTCTGTTTCTTACATCAGTTTCATGGAAAATGCATATCCTTTTGCAATGTGTCAAATGCTGTCACACACACATGTGGAGAACAGCACAATATTCTTCACATAGCCTTACTCATTACAACAGGTTCACAGATAAAGTGCTAAGCATTGTAAGATGGTCACATTTGACTCATGTTATTGCAATCAAACATATTAATACAAAGCTTTTATGTACACAATGCATCTCATCTCCTGCACAAGTCATCTGATTTCTCACAGCCTTCATCTAACTTTTAGCTTCTGCTTGAATTAGAACAGAAAATACTGTTAAATGATTATGGAGGAATGTGCTTTAAAAAGTGCTGAACAGAGATTTCTGAGTTTGCAGGGAAGTTAGCAGAGCTAACTTAGTTAACCATGTCATACTGCTGTTGCCGTAGAGCTTTGAAGAATAGGAGCTGATGTGTACACTGTCCTGCAGACAGACATCTTGCTTGGAGCTATTTGCAGGGTATGGTATCATGATGGATTTGTAAGTTTGAGCAACAGGTTCTGTATTACCTTCTCCAGTATTCTCCATGTTGTTTTCCTGTGTTTTAGTGAGTGAGACTATGGGTTTCATTGATTTCTGGTAACCCAAAAGATTCTGACATCTCAAAGCTGTGAAAAATTCAATTCCACATGAAATATTTTTTTTGTATTTATTCTCTGCCTCTGATTGTCAGACATAAACATTGCTTAATTTTTAAGCAGAAGAGAGAAGATATAAAAGTGATCCCTGTAATTTTTTGTTCCACTTTGTGTGTTTGCCAGTAGTTCTGGAAAGATGTATTAAGGCTGCTAGACTCCCGCCAAAATCTTGGAGAAGTTAGGTATATGGTTTGGATTTAGAAGCCTAGATTCCCGTTCGGTCCCCGTGTGTTGCCTGATCTAGTTGAGAGGTGGCGTCCCTGGCTGCAGGGAGGCTGGATTAAAATGATCTCTAAGGTCCCTTCCAGCTTAGGTATGCTGGAAATGATATGATATGCTATGATACGATATGCTTTGGGTATGATATGCTTTGAAAGTCAGTAAAAATCTTTGTAGGTAGTCATTTTCAGTCTTTGATGGACTAGCAGTTGTGCTTTCTGGTTCTACCACTTGGGCAACAGCATCACTGCTAAGCCATTACTCCAGAGCAACAATTCTTCCCCAGACCATGCATTCAAATTAATAGCATAGCTGAGAGTCATCTGTCATGTAAAGACAAACAGGAAGAGTGGTGAACCTGGGCAGCTTTTGTATGTTACCCTTGCACTCACCTCTCTTCCTTTTGGCAGAACAGGAAACCATCTTCTGTTTTTGTTTTTTTTTTCTTAAGGATTTAGAAAAAAAGATAAAAGACATGACTTATGCTGCAGTTGAGCCTCAAAGTACAAGATTGGTGTCATGTAAAGCTGCTATGCATTTGCCTAGTATTGTAGATAATACTCTAAAGTCCTTGCCTTGCAGTTTGGAAGTTTTACAGATGGGAATCCAGGTGCAGTGTGACTTAGTGGTTGACAAATTCCGCTGGAAATGAGTAGCACATTTAGGAATTAAACTTCTTGTATCCTGAGCCTTAGCCTCTGCCATTTTTTAATTTGCTTTTTTTATCAAACTCTGATGTTTAAGCTATTGAGATAGTGCTTTGAAACTTCGTTTTAAAAATAATAATTAGCACAAAATGATGGCCATTGTTATTAAAAGCTAGGCTTATACAGAAATGAAGTCTTATGAATTAAGAAATCTTTTATCCAGATTTTCTCTGTGGTTCAGACATGGAATAGCTGTGGGAGCCTTTACAACATGTGAAAAGGCCATGTCATAAGTGTTATGATTTGTTTCTAAGTGCTGAATTAATGAATCTGAACTTATAAATCACAACTGTTTGTGATCTGGTGGCAGTGTAGGATGATCAGTGGACATTTCCCCCGTAGACCTCTGGAAGTCAAGTTCTTCATCTTCGCACTTGACCAAAGATGCTAGATGGTGATTCAGTTCCTCTCATTCTCTTCCAGGCTTTCATTTAAGCCTATCTTCAGGGAAAGGGATCAGTTACATCATCTATTGAGGTCTGTTTCAGTGCTGAAATGTAGCATCACTCTTAATATTCTTGAGATTTGCATGCACTCATGAATTTGCTTTGGGGTGAACTTATTCTTCTCTTTAATCCTTTCTTATGTTGCAATGTATGCTTAAAAGGTGGAATCTTCAGTCATTTCTTTGCCAAGGGTGATATAGAAAAAAGAAAAAGCCGGTAAAAAAATTAGGAAGTTGTTGTGAAAGAGCACTCTGAAAATCACTTTGTAATGCAGTCCTTCACCAACAGATCTCTCAATCTTTTTTAAAAATTACCATGATCTCTTTTTACAGCTCAGTGCTCCATCGAGTGGACTACGTTGTCAGAGCACAGAGTCTGAGGCTTAAATCTCATCTTTCTATGCCTCTAACTAGTGAGGTTCCAAACTGAATGCAGTTACAGAATTGCTTCTGTAATTTTGTTAGGTGTACTGGACAACAATTATCCAGTGACTCGAGTATCTTTAGTTGTATTTTTTGACTCAAGTATCGTTTGTATTTTTAGATTTACTAATTTTTTTGTGCATTTTTTCTTCTGTTTATTTTCCTACTTTTTCTACTTGTCTGCCTACTTTAAACTCTTTTCCTGTATTTACTTTCTTTTCTTTCAAACCCATGAAGTGTAAATGCCTTTGGAATCAGTGAGTTAAATGTATCTGCTTAACAAGGTTTCCTGAACAGGGATAGAATTGAGTATCTATTCATATACTTTGTAAAACTGAGGCATCTGCAATTTGTTTTAAAAGACTTTGAACTCTGACTTGATTATGTCTATTTCCCTTGGGTATTTTTTATTTGTTCTTACTGACTTGATATTAACTGTAATACTTATTATTTATGGAAGATGAATGCTGTATTTGGTTGTATATGTCACGTAGCTAACCATATACTAGGTAGAGAAGCAACTGAGAGCAAAAGAGTAATTTTATGCAGCCAGATGGTCTTTCAAAAATAGCTCAGCAACCACACATGAAAACCAGAATTCTCAAAGAGCTCGCATTCTAAGTGCACATTGATTGTAAGCTCCTGTGAAAATCTGGCCACAAACACCACAATGAAACTTTTAGATGCTGAGCACTTTTAAAAATCTGATCCTCTGCTTGTCATTGCTGCTCCAACCCAAGTGTGTGTCAAGGAAGAGAACAG